TTGGGACTTGTTCCTCAATAAGATCTGGAGAAGATCAATATTGCCATCTGAGAAGACCCACTTGAAGGGTTTCAGACCAAAGCCAGCTGTCCTGAAGGCCAGTCAAATGCATCTACGAAGCTTTAGTAGAAACCCAGTGAAAGGAGTAAACATCTACTTTCCCAACAACAACTGGATCTGGAGATGATACTATTGAGCTCTCCAGATGTTTTCGACTAAAGCAGTGGTTCTCAACCTGGGGTCCCCAGATGTTTTTGGCCTCCAACTCCCAGAAATCCTAGCCAGTTTACCAGCTGTTAGGATTTCTGGGAGTTGTAGGCCAAAAACATCTGAGGACAAACGGTTGAGAACCATTGGACTAAAGCTTCATATTGCCTTACCATCCATTTAGGCTGATAGGAGTGGGTCATTATTGGAAGTTGGTCATTATTGGGAGGCTAATAGAGGCCATCTTTCATTAATTAGTCAGGTTCCCTCCTGCCTTAACCTACTAAAGCCTTACCCGCTGAAGGCTATTATCAACACTTCTTTTCATAATGAGTTCCATCTACTCCTTATGGCATGGAATAATTTGAATCAGAGTTATTTAAATATATAACCTTGCCTCTGAGCAATCCAAATGATCAAGGTATTTGTCATCCTTTGGTCAGGAATTAACCCACATTTTGAAAAAAAGAGAAATCTATCCATAAGTTTCTGCAGTTTGGCACCACTTTAATTGCTATGGCTCAATCTTATGGGATTTTGGATTTGTAGTTTGCTGAGGCACCAGCACTCTTTGGCAGAGAATGCTAAAGGCTTTGGAAAAACGACAATTTCCCAGATTCCATATCATCATAGTTCAAGTGTGTGACGTAATGTAAAATAAACCACATGTAGTTCATGTTTCATCAGCCCACACACTGCCTTGCCAGAGAAAGAAAATATGCCACACAGGTGAACAGTAAAGAAAAAGTGTTGTCAAAGGCTTTCATGGCCGGAATCACTGGGTTGTTGTAGGTTTTTTTGGGCTATATGGCCATGTTCTAGAGGCATTCTCTCCTGACGTTTCACCTGCATCTATGGCAAGCATCCTCAGCGGTAGTGAGGTCACCTCTGAGGATGCTAGCCATAGATGCAGGCGAAACGTCAGGAGAGAATGCCTCTAGAACATGGCCATATAGCCACAAAAAACCTACAACAACCCAAAGGAAAAGTAGTTTACTTTTCTTAGTTCAGAACTACATATGTGCAATGTGATCAGTTGCATCAACTCACATAATGTCCTTTTATGAGAGATTTGAAATAGTCTTTCTCTGTGGGTTGTTGTAGATTCTTTCGGGCTATATGGCCATGGTCTAGAGGCATTCTCTCCTGACGTTTCGCCTGCATCTATGGCAAGCATCCTCAGAGGTAGTGAGGTCTGTTGGAACTAGGAAAAAGGCTTTATATATCTGTGGAATGACCAGGGTGGGACAAAGGACTCTTGTCTGCTGGAGCTAGGTGTGAATGTTTCAACTGACCACCTTGATTAGCATATAATGGCCTGACAGTGCCTGGAGCAAACTTTTGTTGAGAGGTGATTAGATGTCCTTGTTTGTTTCCTCTCTGTTGTTGTGCTGTTGTAATTTTAGAGTGTTTTAATACTGGTAGCCAGATTTTGTTCATTTTCATGGTTTCCTCCTTTCTGTTAAAATTGTCCACATGCGTGTGGATTTCAATGGCTTCTCTGTGTAGTCCGACATGGTGGTTGTTGGTGTGGTCCAGCATTTCCTCAGATAATATGCTGTGTCCAGGTTGGCTCATCAGGTGCTCTGCTATGGCTGATTTCTCTGGTTGAAGTAGTCTGAAGTAGTCTTTCTCTGTCCATGTAGATAAACTCCTTCAGCATCTCATGAAGCAAGAGTACACACCAAACTCTGTCTCTCTCTGCTCCTCTCTTCAAACTGTCTCTATCTCCACCTGCGTAACTCAAGCCTGAACAAAAATGTAACAGTATTCAAAAGTCCCAGGCTCAGCCATCTAACTGGGCATTTCCCAACCAATCATCTTCATGCAACTTATTTTACAGTTGACACACACACATACACTCACTGATTCCTTACATGCTCCAACAAAGTGGTATTAAATAGCATCAATTTTCCAGTGCAGATGCACTCTTCTCTTTCTTAGTTTATTAGTGTGAATAACAATAAATATTGTTTATCATCGTCAGAGTCTATAAGTAAGATTTTGGGGTACTTGTTAAGGATGAGTAATTGCCCAGTCTCTTCCTGATGGAGCAGAGCTTTGGACTCATGTCTTCAAATATTTATCCAACACAAGGAATGAATTTCCCCTATTTATTATTCATTTCTTGGCTTCAAAAATGGGTTTCCTGACCTTCGGGAAACCCAGTCGGAATGAATAATTCAGCAGCAAAGACTTTGTATAGCTAAGTCTGGTGTTTTGTTTTGTTTGTTTGGTGCAGCATTGCTGTTTTCTATACAAATAATAGCAGGCATACACAACAACAACAACAACAACAACAACACTTGTACAGCACAAATCTTGGGGGGAAATGCATCCTTGCATGACAAAGCGGTGTGTCTATTACACAACATTGTGCAAAATTCCCACAAGGTTCATGCAAAAACAAAATAAATCCGTGTGTACTCTGCACAGAGTAATTTCCCCAAAATGTTTTGGCATGTGAAGTTTGGAGAGGATGTTACAGCCTTGTTTAAATACTCGAAAGGATGTCATATTGAGGAGAAGGAAGCAAGCGTGCTTTCTGCTCCTCTGGAGACTAGGACACAACGGAGCCATGGATTCAAATGGCAGGGAAAGCTTCCTGATGGATAATGCTGATGGTGCCCAGTGGAATGTCTTTCTTTGGAGGTTTTTAAGTAGATGGCCATCTGCCGGGAGTGCTTTGATTGTATCTTCTTGCACGGCAGGAGTGGTTGCACTGGAATGGCGTCCAACTCTATGATTTTTTGATTCTTTGAGTTTATCCACATCAACACGACATACACATGAATGTGCATTTTTGCATGCATTCTCTGATTCTGTGGCCATCTGTCGGGAGGGCTTTGATTGTATCTTCTTGCACAGCAGAAGTGGTTGCACTGGGATGGCATCCAATTCTATGATTTTGTGATTCTTTGAGTTTATCCACATCACCATAACATGTACATGAATGTGCGTCTTTGCATGCATTCTCTGATTCTATGGCCATCTATCGGGAGGGCTTTCATTGTATCTTCTTGCACGGCAGAAGAGGTTGCACTGGAATGGCGTCCAACTCTATGATTTTTTGATTCTTTGAGTTTATCCACATCAACACGACATACACATGAATGTGCATTTTTGCATGCATTCTCTGATTCTGTGGCCATCTGTCGGGAGGGCTTTGATTGTATCTTCTTGCACAGCAGAAGTGGTTGCACTGGGATGGCATCCAATTCTATGATTTTGTGATTCTTTGAGTTTATCCACATCACCATAACATGTACATGAATGTGCGTCTTTGCATGCATTTTCTGATTCTATGGCCATCTGTCGGGAGGGCTTTGATTGTATCTTCTTGTACGGCAGAAGTGGTTGCACCGGAATGGCGTCCAACTCTATGATTTTGTGATTCTTTGAGTTTATCCACATCAACACGATATGTACATGAATGTGCACCTTTGCATGCATTTTCTTATTCTATGGCCATCTGTCGGGAGGGCTTTGATTGTATCTTCTTGCACGGCAGAAGTGGTTGTACTGGAATGGCATCCAACTCTATGAATTTGTGAATCTTTGAGTTTATCCACATCCACACAACAAGTACATGAATGTGCATATTTGCATGCATTCTCTGATTCTGTAGCCATCTGTCGGGAGAGTTTTGATTGTATCATCTTGCACGGCAGAAGTGGTTGCACCGGAATAGCATCCAACTCTATGATGTTGTGATTCGTTGAGTTTATCCACATCACCATAACATGTACATGAATGTGCGTCTTTGCATGCATTCTCCGATTCTATGGCCATCTGTCGGGAGGGCTTTGATTGTATCTTCTTGCACAGCAGAAGCAGTTGCACTGGAATGGCGTCCAACTCTGTGATTTTGTGATTCTTTGAGTTTATCCACATCAACACAATATGCACATGAATGTGCATATTTGCATGCATTCTCTGATTCTGCAGCCATCTGTCGGGAAAGCTTTGATTGTATCGTCTTGCACGGCGGAAGTGGTTGTACCGGAATGGCATCCAACTCTGTGATTTTGTGATTCTTTGAGTTTATCCACATCAACACGACATGCCCATGAATGTGCGTCTTTGCATGCATTCTCTGATTCTATGGCCATCTGTCGGGAGGGCTTTGATTGTATCTTCTTGCACGGCAGAAGTGGTTGTACTGGAATGGCATCCAACTCTATGAATTTGTGAATCTTTGAGTTTATCCACATCCACACAACAAGTACAGTATATTCTGGCGTATAAGACTACTTTTTAACCCAAGAAAATCTTCTCAAAAGTCAGGGGTCGTCTTATACGTGGGTGTAGTTTTATGCATGGGAGTCGTCTTAACTCTATATTTTAACTGGAAAAGTTGGGGGTCGTCTTATACGCCCAGTCGTCTTATATGCCGGAATATACGGTACATGAATGTGCGTCTTTGCATGCATTCTCTGATTCTATGGCCATCTGTCGGGAGGGCTTTGATTGTATCTTCTTGCACGGCAGTGGCATCCAACTCTATGAATTTGTGAATCTTTGAGTTTATCCACATCCACACAACAAGTACCTGAATGTGCGTCTTTGCATGCATTCTCTAATTCTAAGGCCATCTGTCAGGAGGGCTTTGATTGGGTGTCCCTGCATAGCAGAAGAGGGTTGAATAGCATGGCTTCTATGACTTATGAAAGTTGCAATCCAGGACCTTTGGAGAAGGCCAGTTTGGAGAAGTTTGGAGAACAATGTCACCAATTATTTGAACCCTTTGGAAAGCAGCTCGATTTCATTCGTTTACTTGGAATGCATAACAGTAATATATATTGTTGTTGTTGTTGCAGGTTACCTTAAATGCGATACAGACGATGGCTGCGAGAACAAAGAAGAGGTCGGGGGAGAAGAGCTCTTTGACACCGTGAATTCCTCCATCGTATCCGGAGACAGCATCAGGTTCTTTGTGAATGTCAACTTGGACGTACCGCAGAATGTTACAGGTAAAGCTCCAAGGCCAACCGCCTTTTGTTTACTTTATTTATTTACTTTTGTCCCACCTTGATGCCTTTCTCTTACATTGACCCTGCTGGTTCGGTTTTTCTTTCTTTCTTTTTCAAGTTTTCTTCATAAATTTTAATATCATACTTATTAAGACATAATAGATGTACAATATATTGACCCTCCGTGTGTGCATGTTTGACATTTGTAGAGCTGCTGCTGCTGATATTGTTATATTTATATATCGTCATCATAGGCAATTACTCATGGCCAAGTTTGAGATATATACCTATATAAATAAAAATGTAATGCTTAAACCCAGTTCTTTACTCAGAAGAAATGTAGTTAGTTCTTATTACTGTAACTAAACCTTTTGTGATTTTTTTAAAGATTGGACTCTGCATCTTTGCCTGCCTAAGCTTTAAATTCTTTACAGCCACATCACATGGTGCTTTGCTTGCTAGTGAACTAAATGCTCAACTTTTGTATCCTGTTTGTTTTTGGATGCGCTGTATTATTTTAGGGTAGTTTTCCCTAATAACTTGTTGGTCTTTTTCTGAATGCGCACAAACTATGTTATCATCAGCATATTGGAGTTCTATAATAGATGTTGTTGTGACCTTGGTTTTGGCTTTCAGTCTGCTTGCCGTCTGTCTGATAGATGATTTCCACTCCAGCTTTATGCAATCATTTTATACCGGAAGCCAACTGAGGGAAGACCTAGAAATTCCTAGAGACATGTTTTTTTAAATAGAAATATTTGCAGTTCATTTATTCATGTTTTTTTCATTGTGCCCCTAACCCCAGCGAATGTGTGACAATGCCTAGTCACACATAAACAATTTCATTATTTATTTGAGAAATTTATATCCTTCCTTTCTCTGAGTACAATAACACTATGCAACTATTTATTTATTTATTTACATTATTTTTATCCCACCCATTTCAGCCTGAAGGCGTCTCTGGGCAGCGTACAAATCGGCAACAATTAGATGCCATCCATACACACACACACACACACACACACATCTCAGATAAAAGCAATTAAGTCACATCATAAATACATATAAAAACCATAGAAGCAATAAAAACTATAAAAATCTATAAAAGCAATGTCTTCTGGTTCCATTTCTCACCCGTTTACATCGTCTTAGCCATTCTGTATCCATATTCCTATTTGAGTTCATCTGGTCACTTTGAAGTTCCAAACGCTTGCTCAAAGGGCCAGGTTTTCAATCTTTTCTGAAAGGTCAGGAGGGAAGGGGCCAATCTAATATCCTTGGGCAAGGAGTTCCACAGCCGAGGAGCCACCACTGAGAAGGCCCTGTCTCTCGTCCCTGCCAAATAAAAAGTAGAAGAGAATTCAAAGTGCTGGTGCTGACCTATAAATCCCTAAATGACTCCGGCCCAGTTTACCTGTCCGAACGAATTCTCCCCTATGAACCATCAAGGTTGTTAAGATCTTCTGGAGGGGCCCTGCTCTCGATCCCACCACCTTCGCAATCGCGTCTGATGGGGACGAGGGACAGGGCCTTCTTGGTGGTGGCCCCTCGGCGCTGAAACTCTCTCCCGTTGGAGATTAGATCTGCCTCTTCCCTCCTGACTTTCAGAAAGCTGGTTAAAACCTGGCTTTGGAATATAGCATTTGCAGAATGATGATCGAGTCAATAACGGCTAACCACACCGGCGGATGGTGATGAATTTGTGATTTTATTCTGATGACCTGGCTTTTGTAATTATATGATATTGTATAATCTGTATTTTATTGTATTTTGTATTAATGCATTATGATGCTATTATGTTTACTATATTTGTGTTGAATTTTCTGCTGTTAGCCGGCCTGAGTCCCTCTTCAGAGGTTGAGAAGACCGGGTTATAAAAGCTCTAAATAAATAAATAAATAAATAAAGTATTATTTAAAAGAAGACGTTTCACATATGCGCAAAAACGTTTCCTATGTGCAAAAACGCACATGGCACACAAACACACACACGCAGCAGCTGCATTGGGGTACTTTCACATATTTATACCCGTTGCAATATTATCTCTTTTGAAAACAATTGTGTTCCTGGTTTGAAAGTGTTATTTCCAATTTAATTATGCAGTACTTGCTTTGAAATTATTATACTCCTGTTTTTGTGTCTGCCACAAACTATGTTGAATTGCATTGTCGAAGGATTTCATGGCCAGAATCACTGGGTTGTTGTAGGTTTTTTCGGGCTATATGGCCATGTTCTAGAGGCATTCTCTCCTGATGTTTTGCCTGCATCTATGGCAAGCATCCTCAGAGGTAGTGAGGTGAGGTGTTGAATTGGCTGAGACTCTATGAGATATTCATTGAAGAACTACAGCAAAATGTGCTGCAGGATGTCCCTCCTGCAAAAATACAAACCTTTGCAGTTTAATAAACTTTTCCCAATTTGGGAAAAGTTTCCAATTTGGAAATGACATTGATAACCCAGGAACAAAAAATGTGTTACGTAGTGTAATGCGGTAGTTGATGGCAGAAAAGCAAAATATGGTTTCTAAGAAATGCAAAGTCTGCAGTCAGCACCATCTTTATAGGACGCAATTTCCGCCCAGCATTCCAGTTGTGTTGGCTTGTGTCCCTCGGCATGCCAGCTGTGTTCATATCACAGCAGGTGCTTGAGCCATGGGGGACTTGGTCTACCAGATCTCCTTGGAGGTGAACAGGAAATGAACAGAAGTGATTGGGGATTATTGGCAGAGACAGTGCACGCACAAAGGAGCGACACACAAGAGAGTTTTTCTTGTATGTGTGATGACTTTCTCCTAGTATCCCCAATCATCATGCTGGCTGCATTTTTTACCCCATATATGCTTCTCTAGAGCCCAAGATATGGTGAAATTTGCTGCCTTGATGGAGTCTCCTTCTCTGAAGGTTTTTCAATAGTGGCTGGATGGCCATCTCCTGGGATAGCTAGGAGATGTCTTCTTGCATGGCAGAAGGGGGGGTGGACGGCCCTTGGGGTCTCTTACTGCATCCCAGCTCCCATCATCTGTAGTCATAATACCTAATGATGAGGAAGACAGGAGTTGTAGTCCAGCATCTTGAGGAGGTCTACATAAAATGACACGGAGGGCTGAATTTGGCCAATGGGCCTTGAGTTCGACGCCCATACTCAATTTTTGAGCTTTTTAGATACAGGCAGTAATTGTCCCGCCATGGGATTATTTTAAGGCAACCAATCCCACCATGGTTTTTATTTGTCGTGTCAGAGCAGCCAGTCCATTATATTACATTTCTAACAGAACAAAGCAAACAAACAGAAAAATACACAACTTGTGAGTTTGGTAGCTGGTTAAATGTCCTTTGACCAGTATCTGGCCACTTGGAGTGCTTCCGGTGTTGCTGCAAGAAGGTCCTCCATTGTGCATGTGGCAGGGCTCAGGTTGCATTGCAGCAGGTGGTCAGTGGTTTGCTCTTCTCCACACTCGCATGTCGAGGATTCTACTTTGTAGCCCCATTTCTGAAGGTTGGCTCTGCATCTCGTGGTGCCAGAGTGCAGTCTGTTCAATGCCTTCCAAGTCGCCCAGTCTTCTGTGTGCCCAGGAGGGAGTCTCTCATTTGGTATCAGCCATTGGTTGAGATGCTGGGTTTGAGCCTGCCACTTTTGGACTCTCGCTTGCTGAGGTGTTCCAGCGAGTGTCTCTGTAGATCTTAGAAAACTATGTCTAGATTTAAGTCATTGGCGTGCTGGCTGATACCCAAACAGGGGATGAGCTGGAGATGTCTCTGCCTTGGTCCTTTCACTATTGGCTGCTACTTCCTGGCGGATGTCAGGTGGTGCAATACCGGCTAAGCAGTGTAATTTCTCCAGTGGTGTAGGGCGCAGACACCCCGTGATAATGCAGCATGTCTCATTAAGAGCCACGTCCACTGTTTTAGTGTGGTGAGATGTGTTCCACACTGGGCATGCATACTCAGCAGCAGAGTAGCACAGCGCAAGGGCAGATGTCTTCACTGTATCTGGTTGTGCCAGAAATGGGGCTACAAAGTAGAATCCTCGACATGTTAGTGTGGAGAAGAGCAAACCCCAGGTTGTGCCAGTCAGCTTTCGTATGATATTGTTTCTGGCACCCACTTTTTGCTTGATGTTCAGGCAGTGCTTCTTGTAGGTAAGAGCACGGTCCAGAGTGACTCCCAGGTATTTGTGTGTGCTGCAATGCTCCAGTGGGATTCCTTCCCAGGTGATCTTCAGAGCTCGGGATGCTTCTCTGTTCTTGAGATGAAAGGCACATGTCTGTGTTTTAGATGGGTTGGGGATCAGCTGGTTTTCCCTGTAGTAGGCAGTAAGAGCACCTAGAGCTTTGGAGAGCTTCTGTTCTACAGTCTTAAAGCTCCCTGCTTGAGCAGTAATGGTGATTTTTGGGCAACCCAAGTGATTCTAATCACCCTGCTGACAAATGAATTTTTCTGCAGGTTTACCCACTGCTGCCACCACCCAACACTATGTGCAATGTTTGGACTGTTGTGTCTGTTCGTGTGCCTCCAAGTTGCCTATCAACCTATGGCGATCTCATGGATCTCATCATGTTTGGACAAAGACCAGAACATTGCACCTTGGTTCCATTTCACTTTAGGGACTGCCATAGCACTTGAGTGTTGTGACTTAGCTGGAACCACAGACTGATAGTGTTGTGACTCAGATGGGGTCTCAGAGTGACTCTGACGAGGATGATAGGATTCAGGTTCACAATCAGGTTCAAAATAATGTTCCTGTTGTAGACAGTGAGGAACAGGGTGTGCAAGTTCAGTTTCCCACAGCAGGGAATGATGTTTTTGATCCTGAAACTAGCCAGGTGCAAATTGACTCAGCAAAGGAGAACAGTTCTCAGCCTGAGAGTAGGCAGGAAGGCAATCAGGTTGTCACTAACGAGCAGCCTGACCTTGATGAAACGGGAATGTTAGATCGGGCTGACCGTTTGGAATTCAGAGTTCGAAGGAGTGTGAGAATAGCCAACAAGAAGGAGGTCAGAG